GCGCCGGGGCCGGGGCCCGAGCACCAGGCGGAGAGCGAGCCGGAGCCGCAGCCAGAGCCCGGGCCAGGCCGGGGTCCGGGACCGCAGGGCCGGGCTGCTCGTAGCGGCGGCGACGGAGCCCCCCAGCGGCTGAGGGGCTAACTCCTAGCTCCTGTCGGTGGCCGGGACCCAGCAAGCCCCGGCAGCGGGGGAGCTCGGGGATCCCCCCATACATCCAGGATCCAGCGATCCCCAGGAAAGCGGGGGGCCCTCCAGATCCAGCACAGAGCGACTCCCCAGCCGGGGAAAGCGTAGACTTCCTCTGTATTCGGAAGACAGCGACCCCCCTAGGTACGGTGAAGACTCCCCCTCTTCTATCTGGGCCCCCCAAGACCTGAAACGCAGTGCCCCCCGTCCGGGATTGCGGAAAACCCCTCCCAAGAGCCTGGCCATTGCAACTCCACACCTCAAGACACGAAGACCCAGCTCAGAACGCCCCTAGATCAGGGGATCCTGACCCCCCCGCTCAACTCCGGTACACCGAAATTCCACATCTAGGGACCCAAGGACAGCAAGAGATACCCTCACCAGCAAGAAGCCTCGGGGACCACCCCCCGCAAAGCTCCAGGCACCGGGTGACCGAGCCCCTTGCGGCGCCCTTCGCATCCCGGCCCATGATCGTGGAGCCCTGAGCCCCCCCGGGCCGGGCTGACGAAGACCGAGACGGCGCCCAGGCCCCCTGCCGCGACGTCCCCGCGGCCCCAGCCCAGGTAAGCTGGGCACAGGTGAGGGGCGGCAGGTGAGTGGCCACCGAGGTCCCTATAGCCCTGCAGGTGGGAAAGGAAGTATTGGGTGCGCGCTCCCCCTCCCCAGCCGTCGCCATGGAGCTGAGGCTGAAGGACGTCTCTTTGTGTCTCGCTTGGAGGAGCCGCCCCCTCCTCCTCTCCCTTCCCCCATTCCACACCCTAGCCCTGAGGTTTGGACGCAGCTCCCCGGCCCCACGGGGGAGTGGCGGTGGAGCCCCTTGTGCCATGGAGAGGGGGGAAGTGGGAGAGTCCCCCCAAAACACTGTGAGCCTGGAGTGTTGGACCCAAGCTCCTTGGAGTATATATACCCCTCCCCCGGAGGCCAGGCTGAGTTCTCAAGTGAAGTCCTCCCTGGGAGAAGATGTGGGGGTGTCCACAGGTGAGGGGTCCTGCAGTATGTGGTCCTGGGTGATGACTGGGGCTTTGGGTGTGTGTCCTTGTCTGTGAGAGGGCAGAGAAGGGGTGTGTTTGAGAGAGTGGATGGGAATCCCTTTTCTTCTCTGTGACTTCACCACCCCCCACCCAGGCCACAGTGGGGTCTTCACCCAAGTCACACTTTGGGCTCCCTGCCAGACAGGAGGAGGCACCCCACACACACTCCCACCCCCAGTGACATGCTAGTTTCTTGGGAGGGGAGGTAGTCTAGATGAAAAAGCCATTTCAGGTCAGGGCATTTTTCTGTCTCCATATGTCCCAGGGACAGCAAACCCAAGACTTTGCCTTCTCCTCCTGACCTCCAAAACGGCCAGGGCCAAACCTAGGGTTGGGTCATTGTGTCCTAGACAACCAAGGGGCAAGTTCAAGTTCTGGCTTTAGCTTTCTGAGCAGTATAGAAAGCAGAACCCCAGCCTGGCCCTCGGTGAGGTCCTGAACCCCATGCAGCTCTTAGGGAAGCTGAGAGCCCCCGGGAGATGTTATACCCTGAAATACCAGCGATCCTGAGGAGGGGCTGGACCCTGCCGAGGAAGCATACTCTGGGCTGCTGGAATTTCCCCCAGTCTCTTCTCTCTGAGCCCTCTGCACGCAAGCAGTGATGCTGAGCCCATTTGATAGGTGAGCAAACTGAGGCTCAGGAAGGCAGGACCCTGGGTGCAGGTAGCCCACCAGTAGTTCCTTTGTTCATTGATTCATTCAACAAACCTTTAGCTAGTGTCTTTGATGTGCCACGCACTGGCATCAGGGTCTTTTTTCCCCAGTTCATCCTGATCCCATTTCCTGATCTCTCCTGATCATCAGACCCCTGAGCTGTTCTTAATTTGCTCAAGCCACACTTGGACCAGTTGAGGTGGACGTGGTCAGGTCCAGCTGACCAGTTCTTGATTCCACACCTGAAGCACCTGATTCCCGTCCTGCTGCAGACTTAGGCGCCCTGACCCTGGGCAGTTGATTCCTTTTCTCTCCCCTTCCCACCACCAAGTGCCCCCACCCGCACCTGCTGCTGGCATTGGCCCAAGAGTAGGGAGGTGGCCAGCGGGAGAGGAGGGTGGCAGGCACTTCAGGCCAGACCTCTGGCAGCCCCTCCTTCAAATTCAAGGATACCTGAGGCAGCTATCCTCAGCACAGGCTGTGGAAGAGCCAGCTGCCCTGAAGACTGAGTGACCTTGGGCAAACATGTGGCATTGCCCAGAGATAGTGACAGAGAGCAGGCCAATCACTCTGCAGCCTGCAGGGCAGATTTTGATCGAATTTGGGCCATGAGAAGCATCCAGGTGTGTCCTACCCATCTCTGAAGGAGTTCATTTCTCCCAGTGGGTTCCCAGGGCCTTGTCACACATCCCACAGGCATGGGAGTGGAACCAGAGCCTAAAAAGCAGAGATTTGAGTCACCGTGACCATTGAGGGAAAACCACTGAGAGGCCACAGACAGGAAGTAAGACCTACCCTCCTCCCTTTGAGTCACCGTGACCATTGAGGGAAAACCACTGAGAGGCCACAGACAGGAAGTAAGACCTCCCCTCCTCCTTAACCTGCTGTGGCTCCCCACTGAGTCCAGAATAAAGTAGCTCAACAGTCTACTGCAGTCTGGCCCTAAACCATCTCTCAGGCAGCATCTCCCACTCCTCAGTCACCTCCTCTACTCCTGGCTCTCTCTTCTGTGTCCTTTAATTCTCTCTCTCCATCATGTGCTATTCCCCTGACCTGAAAACCCACCACTTGGATGGCTCAGGAGCAGCTTTCTGCCTCCACCTCCCCTTCTGATCTGACCTGAGTTGGCACCTAGTAGAGAGCTGAATTTGATTGGCTGATGGAGACAGTGGCATGTGTCTACATGGGCTGTGACAGTTTGTCCACATCTAGACTCTGAGCTCCCAGGGACAGGACCCAGGTCTGTCATGTCCACACCACATCAGCATTGTCTAAACCTGAGCCCATCACATTGTACGGCACATGTAAGATACAGCTCCCAGACACACTTCACTGATTTTACATGTCTGCATTTGTTATCAGTGCTAAAAACAAAAATAAAAATAAACCTGGGAGATTTCACATACAAATACTGATTTTTGGATCCTCTTGAAAAATCAGATGATATTATAACCCCAGGCCAGAGCTGAAGAATGACCACCTTCTTTACACAGGGCACAGGCCCTCCAGCTTGCCCCAGGCCACACCTGGCCTATTCACTCACTTATGTGACCTGCTGGCCCCTGCTGCTGGCATCTGGATTTGCAGCCCAGGGTGGAGGCCAGAAAAATGTTTGCTCAGCAGGTGACCTTTGTGTGTGTGTGTGTGTGTGTGTGTGTTCTGCAGTTACAGATGTGCCCTGCCTCCCCTATGGCCAAGCCAAACCATGCACAGATCAGTGTCCATGCAGTATCTTTATAGCTAAGTGCTAAAGTGAGCCTGAACTAATCCAGCCTGTCCTGCTTCCCACTCTTGGCCTCATCTTGAGCCACACTCTTGTGCTAGAGGCATTCAGACCCCCAAAACCTGTTTTCACTGTCCCACTTGCCCAGGAACAAAAGTCCAAGATTCTAGGCTCTGGCCTTGCTGAGGATTCTTAGGGGAAGGCTGCTGTCTAGGCCTTAGTTTACCCACCTGTCCAGAGAGTAATTGGACTAAGGCTTCTTTCAGCTGTACACTTCCTCCTTGTTCTAACTTTCTAGGACTGAGTCCAAGTTCAGGCAGAGGGGTGGGGGCAGAGGTCAGGCAGAGGGGTGGGGGCCTAGACGCAGGAGTCACTTGGAAGTATCAACATTGGCTCACTTGGGAGAGTGTTGTGCTGATAACACCAAGGCCATGGGTTTGGATCCCTATATAGGGATGGCCGGTTAGCTCACTTGGGAAAGCGTGGTGCTGACAACACCAAGTCAAGGGTTAAGATACCTTTACCGGTCATCTTTTAAAAAGAGAAAGAAAGAAATGTCATCAGGCCACACACGGCCCGTGATGCCTCTTTTTGCCTCCTTCCACCATTCCCTGTCACCTTAGACCTGACCCCAGTCACTAATTTGTGTGATCTATAGGTACTTGAGTTTGCAATCCCCAGCTCTAAAATCTCTAGAAACAGAGTGGTCGGGAAGAGTATGCTGGGTTGAGGAAACAGCCTGATCAAAGACTTAGAAGAAATAGGGAAGGTGCCAGGTGTGTTGGGGACTTTCTCATTACGGAAAGAGTATCCTGCAAGGATGAGGCTGAGAGAGAGAGATAGGGCCTGAAAGGATGAGCGGTCCCTATCTCATCTCTGTCCTCATCCAAGCCACCAATTTCCGGTTATCAAACAGACAATGCTCTTTCACACCCAGGTCCTTTCCACATGCTGCTAACTCTGTCTTCAGTCTCCTTTCTTCCTTTCTATCTGGCGAGCAAGGTGCACCCCATCTGCGTTCCTTAACTAGTCACTGCCCGTTTACAGCAGGGGTCGCAAACGCGAGCAGAGCTAGACATGACCNTTCTAGGCTCTGGCCTTGCTGAGGATTCTTAGGGGAAGGCTGCTGTCTAGGCCTTAGTTTACCCACCTGTCCAGAGAGTAATTGGACTAAGGCTTCTTTCAGCTGTACACTTCCTCCTTGTTCTAACTTTCTAGGACTGAGTCCAAGTTCAGGCAGAGGGGTGGGGGCAGAGGTCAGGCAGAGGGGTGGGGGCCTAGACGCAGGAGTCACTTGGAAGTATCAACATTCCCTAAACATTAATGAAACTGATGAGTGTTGCCAAGTAGCTGGGCCCAGGGCCGGGGATCAAGGGCCAGAACTTGGGCCCAGCCACTGGGCATGACCCTGGAAAGGAATATGCCATCTTCGCGGACAAAGGTCTACAGCAGCCTGCAGTCAGAAGAGATGGCAGAACGCCATGGTTGAAAGCACAGGCTCTGGACTGTGCCTGGGTTTGAATCTCATTTAGATGGTATGTGACCTTCAGCAAGTGACTTAACATCTCCAGGCCTCAGTTTACTTATCTATAAAATAGGGATAACTCCTACCTCATAGGGTTGTTGAGGGGATAACATGAGCTAAAGCATGAAAGGGGCCTAGGGACAGGGATTGCCACATAAAAAGTGCCAGTAACTACTGGCTCTTAGTAAAGGGGCGTTGGCAAGCGGGTGGCTAAGCCTCGGCGGTTACACTTCCTTGGAAGCTGGTCTAGGGAGGCATAGGACTTTTGGTACCATCCCCAAGAATGGGAAGAGGTCTTTGAGAGGCAGTAGTGCATAGTGCTTAAGAGCATGGAGCTTGCCCCTGCTCCGGTAGGGGTAAGGGTGGAGTGGGGTTCAAGGTCGAGAGGCTGTAAGGACCCTTCCTCAGCCTTGTCCTGGAGCTCTGACTGAGGGATCTGGGTGGCCTGGCTATGGTTTGGATTTTTTTTTTTTTTTTTTTTTTTTGTATGGCGGCTGGCTGGTAAGGGGATTTGAACACTGGAACTTGGTGTCGTAACCCCATACTCTAACCAGCTGAGCTAACCAGCCCCAGGAGCTGTATTTAGGCCCTCTTCATTCTCAGCTTCTGCTTTCCAGGGGAGGCACCTGC